GTTTAGGGCCTTATAGGTAAGCATTAGAACTTTGAATTCAATGTGGAAATGGATGGGCAGTCAGTGCAGCATGGCCAGAGTAGGAGAGATATGTTGGTATTTTCTCACTCCAGTAAGGAGTCTGGCCGCCGCATTCTGCACCACTTGAAGTTTCCGCATCAGCTTCAAAGGAAGCCCCACGTAGAGCGTGTTACAGTAGTCTAATCTAGAAATTACGAGCGCAAGTACTAAGGTAGTGAGCGCCCCCGTGTCTAGGTAAGGTCACAGCCGGGCAATCCACCAAAAGTGGAAAAAGGTGGTGCGGACTACCGATGCCACCTGCGTTTCCATGGTGAGCATCGGGTCCAGGTGTACCCCCAGGCAAGATAAAACATTGCAAGATAAAACACAGCAGTTACATTAAAATAAAAGAATTGTGGCACCTCAAGGGAGGGATTTATTGCAGTGCAAGCTTTTGTGGATTACAATCCAAGTGGACAGAAATAAGTTCCTTGGTCTTTAAGGTCCCACCAATCTTTTATTTTTAATGTATGAGATAAGACATATGCAAGCATATCATTTGATTTTTCCATAATTCTCATTTATAACTAGCAGTTAAGATGTGGACTAAATGTTTAAAAAATTGCTGGAGGTTAAATTATAAACACTGAAAACTAAATATATGGAGCTATATCATGGATGACTCAGTCACACAATTATCATTTGATGTACTCATTAATTTATAAACATACATAAATTAATATAAAACTGAAACTACTAGATGGAAATTTATTATATAGGACATAAAAAGGATAGATGTTGTAATACACATGCAAGAGGATTTACTTTCTATGGTTGGACCTATTCTTAAGCTGAAGGAGCCCCAAGTTTCAAATGGTATATTAGGAGAAGTTGAAATATGTGTAACTTCCTCCCCCACCCCCCAAAACTGTTTCATCTATTACTAGTCTTATTCAACTTTGGAATATATCTCCCATTTGATTCTGGAGCTCTACACTCTGCAGCTAACAGATACTATTTGGGGAGACTGATCTTTCAAAATTTGAATGGCATTGTTGAATCTGGTGTATTCTGCAACTGAGCAGAATCTTAAGATCCTACTTTATGGGAAGTAAAACCACTTGAGTACTTTACCTAGAGAACCCTAGAAATGGTCATAAGTCAGAACTGATGACACACAATGATTATTTAAAGAGCCCAGAGACTATTTGCTTTGATTTATAAAAAGATGTGGGTAGTGGACTTATCAGAATAAATTAGTACAGGCATACCTCGGTTTACGAAATTAATGCATCCTCTGGGACGCTACATCATGTGGAAATTTCATAAACTGATACACAGATTGAGCTAGGAACAGGGGCAGCGCTAGAAACACCCAGGTGCAATGTGTCCTGGGGGAAACCCTTTTGTACAGCAGGGGGGGGGATAGAATATAAACCGGGCATTATTTTCTATGGATTTTGGTTTGTAAACCGAAAATTACATAAACTAAGGCAACGAGGTACCGCTGTACATTTCCAGTCTTGCTGATACTTGATGAACTAGGGATGAGTAAGCATACTGAATAACACAATACAGAATTTACAGGGTAATATTTCCTCTACAATTCCACAATTATAACTTTTGCAAATGCAATGCAAGTCTGAATACCAAACTGGGGGAAGCCATTTCAGCACCACAGACTTTGCTTCGTCCTTCCTTCTTTTATCATTTGATTAAACTAATCTAATTAAATATTTAATTAAACTTATTAAAGGCTGAAAACTTAGCTGTAAACTGTTCCACAGTAGTATACCAATCTTGTAGTTCTTTATAAACACAAACCATATAAACTGTCTAAAATCCTGTTGGGCAAAATCCACCTGCACAACATAAATGATGTCAGTGGCAGTGTGCAGGTGAAACTGTGCAACAGGGTTTCAGCCACTGCATTGAATATATGCCTTAGTAAAATGAGCATGTAACAACTTCATACAGTGGTATGACCCCCACAGTCAGCTGTTTTTAGATATATATATAGCTCCAAGGACCTATCTGGGAGGAACAAATGTCTTGGAAAGTTTCTACTAATCTGTGGGTATAATTAGAATTGGGGGTATTCATATACGAATATTAGTACCCCTGCACAGGTGGACATAATGAGGGTCTGGCCCCCTGGGGCCAGACTATCCATTCACCTTTCTGCTGCTACTGTGGGTCCCGCGGTCTCTTCCAATCGCTCCAGAGCTCGCGGTCAACTAGCCTCTCCTTGCAGGAGGTGGGACAACGAGCCTCGCTGCCGGAATGAAG